CGTGCTGATGAAGCGATACTGGCCCGTGAAAAGTAAGCTGCGCTGTCGGGTGGCGCATGCAATCAACGCATTGCCCAGCGTCATCGGCTGATTATCCCGATGCGAACGCTGCCCTTTTGGCTTGCTTTCATTTCTAGGTATGGCTGCATCTCTAGTACAAAACGCAATGTTGACTCATATGATAGGCCTGGAATTTTCAAAGTTGCGACACAATTCATTCTTGAACATTTATCAACATCCCCAACTACGATGCTATTAGACATTGACGTGATTCATGATGTGCCGCCTGAATTGTCCGAGCTCGTAAATAAAAGTTGGAGCCAACCATTGGGCGGAATCCCCGCTCACGGGAGACGGGGGCGGGTGCTGTCAGTTGCACGAGAAGTAATATTCCTGTTCATGTCTGCGTGAATCACTGTTGCATTTCGGGGGTGCGAAGTGCAGCGCGACACAGACTATGCTAATGCTTCTCTTGAAGCTGTGCGCGATGCGCACGTCCTGGATTGTCGAATTAGATCCGCTATGGAATCATCCAGCCTACTGCATGAATGGACCAACGGATTGGGTCATGATGCATTAGAGACCGTCAGACAGGTTTGCTTAAGTATCCAAGAAGCTGTTGTTTTCATGCGTACGTCTACTGAACCTCACTTTAGTGTCATGATCTGTCTAGCCAACAGCCGTTTTTGTTTCTTCAGCACAGACGATGCCATTGGAATTGCCTTTTGCCAGATGAAGAAAAATGAGGAGAGCGGCCCAGCCGACTCTCCCACAGAGACTATCCCAGCTGAGTCTTCAGCAGATGCTGCAATCATGATAGCTGAAGAGGACACCCCGGGCGGCGCCGCCGCTTCGGGGTTGTGAGCTCAGCGGCATTCTCGCCCAGCATCGAGACCGACGTATCGGGGGGGAAGGCATTCCCATGGGACCGCTCCTTATGCTCTTGTTCCCGCCGGCCCAGCCGCGTCGAGCACCAATTCTGGCTGGATTAATTATGATTGGGTCCAGTCTTGGGCAGATGAGTCCATCGTGGAGTCGGGCGGCCGCGCGGGCGACGGCGGCGGCCCCTGGCCGGCCGTGGGCGGCGGCTACGACGCGACGACCGACCGCGCGGACAAGAATAATAATGGAGAAGATCAAGGGCACTACGTACATGTATTTTGTCACGAGACTGTCACTGGTCATACCAGAACCTGGCATTGGTTTTGTCTGGGCGACGGCAGCGACAAGTTCAAACGTGATTCTGGGGTGCCGAGTACCTTGCAAGAGCCTCCGCCGCCGCCTGCGCCGAAGGCGAGGCCGCCTGAGCAGGGCCGGGGCAAGAGTCAGCCAAGCAGCTGGAGGTCGAGCAGAAGAGAAGATATATCTATATATATATATATATATGACAATTATTCAAGAGATCAGTGCCATTGGAACTGGAACAACAGAGACACGTGGGATGATTCTCGGGAATGGAGAAATGAATGGCAGAGGTGATGCAGTGCAAAAGGACCAGTACGACTTCGTCGGTGCCGGTCCACAGTTCATCACGAAGTGGGTGCGCCAGGTGTGCACGGGCATTCAGGCTTGAGCTGGGAAATATTAGCTCAGGCGGGGTACGTCCGGTCACTTCGGTCCCTGGAAACCACCGTTGAGCGGTAAAATGCTTTTGGGGGTCGTTCCGGGGGCTGTGCATCTGCGCGTGCCAGGTGGGTCGGGGGTCGGGGCGACTCTACGGACCCCGCCGCGGGGGGAGTCAATGCGCCCCTTCCGCGCCACCATCTTCTTGCCCATCCTGCTCCTTAGCCTTGCAGGGGCTGTCTGCTGCGCTGACTGCTTTTCTCCTGCAGCTACACTTTGGCTTTAGGGGAGCGGAAGAGGAGCGAGCCTGCGGCGCGCGCGTGCGTCGGCCGGCGGGCCGGCCTCCTCCCTTCAGTGTTATTCTAATGTATGTTTGACAGCATGATTCCTTCTTCCTTCTGTGATCGGTGACGCCCACTGACCACGAGATATCAAAGGATCATATAGCAGGGATTATGAATATCCAGGCAACATGCTCACTCTCTCATCGCCCCCTTCATCTTCGGAAAGAACATGCGCACGCGCTCGCTGGTCACAAATCATCAGGTTTCAAAAATCAGGTGCTACATGTAGGACGAAGTGCGCGCGCACGCGTCGTCGTGCGCGAGTGCCGAACTGTGTGAAATCTTATAGAATTCGCCGGGATTTCAAAATCGAGTGTCCCGAAAACATATCATCAACCAGAGTTTTTCGCAACAGCAATTTTCAAAAAAAAGCCTGCGCCCGCGCCCTTGCGAATTATAATGAGAACCGTTGTTGTTCAACCATTATCATCACATGCTACCAAACGGGCCTCTCGCGTGCGTATTTCGAAATCATTCGAACGCCCTTGCGCGCGTGCTGTCGCAAACACCCATTGCAACTGATGAGACAAAGTGCGTGCGTCGAAACGCGCGCATTCCGCAATCCTTCGAAAACTACAGGTGTCGCGAAGGGTTCCAAACATAGTGTCCCGAACAATGTGCCAAACCAGTGGCTTCGCAACAAGGATGTTCAAACAGCTTGCCCTCGCGCTCTTGCGAATTCTTAAGAAAACCATGGGCGTCTCGCGCCGCATGTCCAAATCATTCGAACGCCTTTGCGCGCGTGCTTGGGGGGCACGATCCTTGTCAAGTAATGCCATGCGGGCCACTCGCGCGCATCGGTTGGTATGTCACCATCATGCACGGATGAATGTGCGGCTTAAATCTATTTTGAAGTGGCCCTTTTACACGATATGTCATCGACGAGTCGCCGTTTCAACCACGGCGTCGCAGAAGAGGCGAATGCCTCTTGTCCCACAGGCAAAACAAGTTTTCAAACTATCTGGGCCATCGCGCGCGTTCTGCCCCACCCCCCTCCAATATCGTAGCGCGCCCCCCCCTGTGTGCGCCCCGGCAATGCCAATGTGATGCTCGCAGGCTGGTGTGGTGTTTGTCGTCGATGTCGTCGTTGTCGTTGTTACCATCGTCGGCGTCGTCGTGGTCGTGGTCGTGGTCGTGGTCGTGGTCGTGGTCGTGGTCGTGGTCGTGGTCGTGGTCGTTGTCGTCGTCGTTTCAGTGTTCATCGTCGTCCTCGTCCCCGTCCCCGTCCTCGTCCTCATCCCTGTCGTCGTCGTCGTCCCCGTCCACTTCGTCCGCGTGGCGGCCGTCGTCGTCGTCGTCGTCGTCGTCGTCTTCTTCGTCGTCGTCGTCGTCGTCGTCGTCGTCGCCATCGTCGTCGTCGTCGCCGTCGAGTGCTTCGACGGGCCTCCAGGCGCTCCCAGAGGTTTTTTAACACTTCCTTTGGCCTGTGGGGACTTCTGGGGACCTTCAGAGGCGTCCTCGTCGTCGTTTTCGTCCCCGTCCTCATCCTTGTCCTCGTCCTGGTCGTCGTCGTCAACGTCGTCAGCGTCGTCAACGTCGTCGTCGTCGTCGAGGGCCTCGAAGGGTCTCCAAACGCCCCCAGAGGTCTCTGGATACTTTAGGCCTTTGGGGACTTTTGGAGACCGTCAGAGGTGGCCGTCGTCCTCGTCTTCGCACTTTTCGTCGTCCTCCTCCTCGTCCTGGTCGTTGTCCTTGTCTTCGTCCTCGTCCTCGTCGTTATCGTCGTCCTTGACCTCGTTTTCATCCTCGTGGTGTGCCTCCCTGTCGTCGTCGTTCTCGTCCATCCTCGTCGTCGTCGTCGTCGTCGTGCTCGTCCTTGTCGTCGTCGTCGTTGTCGTCGTCGTCGTCGCCGGAGGCCTCGAAGGGCTTCCGCACACCTCCAGAGGTTTCCGCAAACCTCCTTAGGTCTCCAGGGACCTCCCGAGATTTTCAGAGGCGTCCGTCGTCGTCGTCGTCGTCATCGACGTCGTCACTGCCCTTGTCGTCGTCGTCGTCGTTCTCGTCCTCTTCTTCCTCGTCCCCCTTTCCTCGTCATCATCGACGTCGACCGCCCTTGTTTTCGTCTTCATCCTCGTCCTCTTCTTCCTCGTCCCCCTTTCCTCGTCGTCGTCGTCGGTTTCCCTGTCGTCTGGCGCCCTGGCGTCCTCGTCGTTTTAGCAAACACCAGCACGGAGCCGCGGCGGTGCATGCTGTGCTGCGCACTGGTGCTTGCTGTGATGCGCACAGGCGCTGTGGTGCCAGAGCGACACGGCGGAGGGAGGGGCGTTACGTCATGCTACACCCCGCCCCCTCCATTGCTGTCCGTTATCGGAGGCCTGGAAATGGGCACCAACACCAAGACGGGGGGTGCCTCCACAGGGGGAAGATGATCCTAGATTTTCGGTGCTGGTGGTAATAGTTCGGCCACCTTGGAAGCCAGAATATTACCACCATCGCCGAGATCGGGATCTTCTTCCTTCGGTGGAGGCACACCTCCGAAATTGGTGTTGGTGTCAATCTCTAGGCCTGCGACGTGATGTCCGCGAATCAAAACATTCGCTCAAACTCGCGGTCGCTGGCAGGCCCGTTTGTAGTGATGATGGATGGGCAGGGGGCAGAGTGGGTGTGTCAAGTGGAGCGGAAGAGAGCAGTGTCACGCCAGGAGACACAATGACCTTGGACGTGTCTGTGCTGGGTCTTGCACGACCTACACCTGTGAGCGGACGCCCAGTTTACTCCCTCAACGGAAAGCTGGGACGGCCTAGGGTCAGCCCAGACCGCTGACCTCACGGGAGCATGCCGACAAGGCGCGTCGACGGGAAAGCGTGCGGCAAAGCGGGAGGGCCGGGCCCCGACCTTGACGAACAGGGCGTCGGCGCGAGAGTCGACCGGAGGTCCAGAGGTCCTCGGAGGGGTCCTGGGAGGCCCAGGGAGGCCCAGGGGGGACCAACAGAAGGGCCAGCCCATGCCCCTCCCACACTGGGGCCCTCCTCCTCGTGACGCTGTCGGCCGATTCGTCGTCTTGCGACAGAGGCCGTGGGCCGTCTCTGGGCGGTAGCCCAACGCGGCCAGGGCGGCCCAAGGAGGCAAAGAGAGGAGGGCTGGAGCGACCGAATGGCGCAGCGCGACGCAGTGCTCCTCAAGTTTCCTTAGTATACCGTGCCCTCCCCACCCCAGTCAGATTCCACCCCACGGGCCCACGCTGAGTATGCAGAAAACCACGCCCCAGGGAAGGCATTTTGTAGACCAGACCCACGACCAGGACCCTCGCACATCCCCCAGGGCTTTTAGGCACAGTATACGAGCGGAAATGTAAGAGACGGGGAGGCGGGGGGAGGAGGGAAGGCTTCTTAGAAGCATGCGGCTTCTTAGAAAGCATGGGCCTTGTCTATAGCTGCAAGGCCCGCGCCTTCTAACAGGCAGCCTCCTCCGAAGACGCCTTCCCCCCTCCCCCTACGTTCCCCCCTTGTGCGTGCCGCCAGCACAGCTTGAGAGTTCTTCGGCTTCATGTTGCCGTGGCGCCCGTCAGGGGCTCAAGGGGCACGCACTTTGGCGAGCTTCCAGGTGCCCGCTTCCGCCCCGCAGGGCTTCGGACGCGTCATCGGCGGGCCGTGCCGCCCCCGCGCCGCGCGCGCCTCTCGAGGGGCCCCTCCCTCGCGGCGCGGCGCCTCGGAGGAGGAGGAGGGGGAGGGGGAGGGGGTATGAATGACCCATCACCAACCTATCTTATCCTTTACTGTACCCGCTGCCCCTTTGTACTCATAGGTATTGCAGCACGCAACGCTGACTGATCATTATTACCGCCTTTACCGACGGATGCTCGGGACGGGATCGTTTTTTTCGGTCACCCTTTCTTTCACAGAGGAGGAGGAGAAGGAGGAGGAGGAGGAGGATAAGTAGGAGTTGGAGGAGGATGAGGAGACAGAAAAGAAGAGCAGGAGGAGGAGGAGGAGGAGCAGGAGCAGGTGCAGGAGCAGGAGGAGGAGCAGCAGCAGGAGGAGGCGGAGGAGGCGGAGGATCAGGAGGAGGAGGACGGATAACCATATTAGTACGAAGCCGATGAATAGGAGCACTAAGACTAAGACTGGCATGAAAAGTAATAACAGCACTAGTTACTTATACAACAAGAAGAATACTGCTAATATTGAGAAGACACGGGCAACTAATAATCTTACAAACCATACGATAAGTAATACCAGCACCTTGACGAATACGAAGAACACTACTAACCATGCCCATACTTTCAATACTAATAGTCTGCATCTACCAAGACCAATCACGCTACTACTGAGCATAGCTATACTACTCGCATTAATCATATTATACAGATAACAACAGCTCATACACGATCACTCATGCTAATACAGATCACAACAGCACGACTACTACGGATGCGAATGCGAATCAGAGGAATAGCCATCATATGAAGAACACTCGGAATCATACGAGCAAGACGCATAACAATCAGATGAAGAAGAAGAAGACCGACGACTATCACATACTGAGACGACTGATAACACTATTTCGACCACGTATACGACTGACACTACTGAAATTACGAACATTGATAAGGCAACGACAGCGTATAGTACCACATATACTACGAACGTTACGAACCATATTCAGACTAACACGAACAGTGTGGATACGAATGCGATGAAGCATGCTAAAATAAAGGACAACACTAGCACTCACACTATTACTGTTAATGCTAACTCCAGGAATGCGAGTAATCCGATGACTATCGCGACTACGGCTACTACTGATAAGGCGACCCGCACGACGACTACGAATAAGAATACGAAGATCCGTGCGACGACAACGGCACCACACACTACTATTCTTACTACTACTATTACTACTACTGCTACTACTACTACTACTACTACTAATAGTACTACTACTACTACTACAGCTACTACTACTGCTACGACGGCTACTACTACTACCACTACTTATTCTACCACCACTACTACTACTACTACTACTACTACTACTACTACTACTACTACTACTACTACTACTACTACTACTACTACTACTACTATCACCACCACCACCACCACCACTACTACTACTACTACTACTACTACTACTACTACTACTACTACTACTACTACTACTACTACTACTACTGCTACTACTGCTACTACTACTACTACTACTACTGCTACTAATGGTACGAATGATGATACGATGAAGAACAGACGTATAACTACTTACAATACTAAGTGTACTAACGCGAATAATACGCGTAACCCTAGTACTACGAATCTCATTAAGCCGCATACGACTGCGAGTGCCACTGCTACTACGGTGAAGAGGAGGATGAGGAGGAGGAGGAGGAGGAGGAAAAGGAGGAGGAGGAGGAGGGAGGAGGGGGGGGCGACGCGGAGGAGGAGGAGGAGGACGGGGAGAGGGAGGGGAGAGGGGGAGGAGGGGGAGGAGGAGGAGGAGGAGGAGGAGGAGGAAGAGAGATGCGAGAGAGGAGAGAGGGGAGGGGAAAGGAGGAGAGAGGAGGAGGAGAGGAGGGAGGAGGAAGGAGGAGGAGGAGGAAGAAGGAGGAGGATGAGGAGGAGGGGGAGGTGGGGGGAGACTGTGATTGGGGAGGGGGTTGGAGGCGGAGGGGGAGAGGGAGGGGGAGCGGGCTGGGGGGGGGGGGAGGAGGTGAAGAAACATGAGGAGGAGGAGGTGGCGGAACATGAGAAGGATGAGGAAGAGGGGGATCAGGAGGAAGAGGAGGATGAGGATGAGGCGGAGGAGGAGGAGGAGGAGGAGTGAGGAGGATGAGGAGGAGGAGGAGTGAGGAGGATGAGGAGGATGCGGATCAGGCACAGGGGGAGCAGGATGAGGAGGCGGAGGAGGGGGAGGAGTAAGATGATGATGCTGATCATGTTGGTGATGATGATGCTGATGATGATGATGATGATGTTGATACGGATGACGATGCTGATGATGATTATGATGATGATGATGCTGCTGCTGATGATGATGACGACGACGCTGATTGACGTTGATGACGACGACGACGACGACGAGGATGATGATGATGGTGAGAGCCATTCGGAATGACGTTGATGCTGATTTTGATGATGACGATGACGACGACGATGATGGTGATGATGATGCGGATGCAGTTGATGATGATGATGAAGATGACGATATAACGCCGAAGACGATGAGGATGATAATGCTGACGCTGATGATGGTGCTGTTGTTGGTGGTGATGTCAATGACGATGACGATGATGATGATGATGATGATGATGTTGATGATGATGATGTTGATGATGATGATGCTGATTATGATGGTGATGGTGATGATGATGATACCGATGATGATGATGCTGCTGATGATGATGGTGATGATGCTGATGATGATACTGATGCCGCTGGTGATGATGATGATGATGATGCTGATGATGCTGATTATGATGATGCTGATGATGGTCATGATAATGGTGATGCTGATGCTGATGATAGTGATGATGATGACGATGATGATGCTGATCATGATGATGCTGATGCTGATGCTGATGATGCTGATGATGTTGATGATGCTGGTGATGCTGATGATGATGGTACTGATGATGATGATGATGTTGATGATGATGATGATGATGGTGATTGTGATGGTGATGGTGATGGTGACGGTGATGGTGATGATGCTGATGATGATGATGTTGATGATGATGATGATGATGCTGATGATGCGGATGCTGCTGATGATTATGATGATGCTGATGCTGCTGCTGATGATGATGTTGATGTCGATGATGATGATGATGCTGATGAAGATGCTGATGCTGATGCTGATGCTGATGATGCTGATGAAGATGCTGATGCTGCTGATGATGATGGTGATGATGATGATGCGGATGATGATGCTGATGATGGTGATGATGATGATGCTGACGATGATGATGATGATTGGTGTTGCTGATGGTGTTGATGATGATATTGATGGTGATGGTGATGGTAATTATGATGACTGTGATGATGAGGATGATGATGAGGATGATGATGAATATGAGGATGAATGAGGCTGAGGCTGAGGATGATGATGATGATGCAGATGATGATGATGGTGATGGTGATGATGATGCTGCTGATGATGATGATGGTGATGATGATGCTGATGATGATGCTGATGATGATGATGCTGGTGATGATGATGATGATGCTGATGTTGTTGATGATGTTGATGATGATGACGATGCTGATGATGGTGTTGATGGTGATGATGATCATGATGCTGATGATGATGCTGATGATGCTGATGATGATGATGATGATGAGGATGATGATGATGCCGATGCTGATGCTGATGCTGATGATGATGATGATGATGATGCTGGCGGTGGAGGTGATAGTGATGATGATGATGGTGATGATGCTGATGATGATGGTGATCATGATGTTGATGGTGATGATGATGGTGATGATGACGATGTTGGTGATGATGATGATGATGATGATGATGCTGATGATGGTGATGATGATGATGATGGTGATGGTGATGATGATGATGATGATGATGATGATGGTGATGGTGATGGTGATGATGATGCTGATGATGCTGATGACGATGATGATGATGATGATGAGGATGAGGATGAGGATGATGATGAGGATGATGATGATGATGATGATGATGATGATGATGATGATGATGATGATGATGCTGATGATGATGATGATGATTGATTGATGATGATGATGCTGATGATGATGATGGAGATGATGATGATGATGATGATGATGCTGATGATGATGATGGTTATGATGATGATGATGGATGATGATGATGATGATGATGATGATGATGATGATGGTGGTGGTGCTGGTGGTGGTGGTGGTGATGATGATGATGATGATGATGATGATGATGATGATGATGATGATGATGATGACGCTGATGATGGTGTGGATGAGGCGAAGGAGGACGATGAGGAGGGGCTGGAGGATGAGGAGGAAGAGCAGGGGAGGAGGAGGAGAGGAGGAGGGGAGGAGGAGGAGGAGGAGGGAGGCGGGAGGAGGGAGGAGGGGAAGAGGAGGATGATGAGGAATGGGAGGGGGCGGAGGAGAGGATGAGGAGGAAAGGATGATGAGGAG